TTCGGCTTCAGCAGTCTCCTCCCTTATTATCTTTGTTTGTTTTTTTGAAATATTTTGTTAGTGGCTTCTTTTAAAACATAAAACAAGCCAATTTAAAATTATTTAAAAGTTTCCTAAGTCAAAATGGATGTGGCTTATAAAAATAACTGATTATGTTGAGTATGTTAACTCTGAAAATAAACCCAGCATATTTCATAACATCCTGTTTAATAATTTATCTATAAATAGTATATATATTTTTAAATAGGTTAGAAATGTAATTTGCATGGTTGCTAATGGGACACAATGTTACTGAAATAATCTTGTAAGAGTGTCTTTTTCCACTGCCTTTCAGGAAGATTTTAGATTTTTATGGCAATGTTTTAGCACCTTTTTTCTACAGTTAGACATTATGTCACATTTTCCTAGTGTGATAGTAAACATTACCTAAAATAAATGTTATGAAAATGTTAAGAAATTACCCTATTTTAAGTATCTATAACTGATCGTCTAATCAGTAATAGATTATTTTTATTATTGTAATCTTTTCTTTAATTTTAATAAATTATTTTACTGGGGGCTCTTACAGCTCTTATAACAATCGATACATACATCAATTGTATCAAGCACATTTGTATGTATTATTCCATCTTCATTTCCAAAGCATTTTCTTTCTACTTGAGCCCTTGTTATCAGCTCCTCTTTTTGCCCCTTCCTCTCCCATCCTCCCACCCTTGTGAAAATTTTTTTATTTTCGTGTTTTACACCATCCACTGTCTCCCTTTACCCATGTTTCTCTTGTTCGCCCCCTTGGGGAGGGTGGGGTTGTATGTCGATCATTGCTATTGGTTTCTCCTTCTCCCCAAACTTTCCTCTTCTCATGGTATCGCTACTTTCATTATTGTTCCTGAGTAGTTTATCTGTCCTGGATTTTGTGTGTCCAGAGCTCATAATTTGTACCAGTGTACATGCTCTGGTCTAGCCAGACGTGTAAGGTGGAACTGGGGTCATGATAGTGAGGGGAGGAAGCACTAAAGAACTAGAGGAATGTTGTGTGTTTTGTTGGTGCTGTACTGCACCCTTCCTTGTGACCCTTCTGTGAGAGGATGCCCAATTGTCTACAGATGGGCTTTGGGTCTCCATTCCTACCCCCTCATTCGCATCAAAATGGCTGTTTTGGGTCTTGTGATGCCTGATATCTAACCCTAAACACTTCTTAATCCCATTGGTTGGTGTGCTTCTTCCATGTGGGCTTTGTTGTTCCCCTGCTAGATGGCCACTTGTTTAATTTCATGCCATTAAGAACCCAGATACTATATCTTGTAGTAGCAGGGCAACATCTGTTTTCTTAACTGCATTAGCTCATGCACCTATTTTGTCTTCAGTGATTGTGTTGCGCCTCTAAATGAGGTCATCAAGCTGCGACCTGATTGACAGGCTAAACTCCACCCCTTCACTTTAATAGTCTCAAATTCACACCAGATTATGAAACTACCACATAATCCCAAAGGTCAAGGCAGAGATTGTATTGCTTTTTATGACCTTGCTTTAGAAGTTGCACACTGTCACTTCCATCACATTCTTTCACACATATACTCCCCAAACCAAAGTCTTTGTTAGTGAATATTTTCCTACTAATAGGGACCTGACCCTATGACCCATAGGACAAAGTAGAACTGCTCTTGTTAGGTTTTCCAGGCTATAAATATTTATAAGAGTAAAAAGCTTTATCTTTCTGTGGGAAACATTTCTCCCATGTGTCTTCCCCAAATATATGTTAGACTTAGGACACTGCTTGCAGCTAATGGTAAATGATTTGTCAAGTTACTTCCCTGAAGGCAGTCAGTTGCCAGACTACTGTCTGGTCCCACTACAAGTAGGGTCCACTCCCTGCTGTTAAGGACAATGGGCTACTTCTCCCTAAAGGCTTAAAGGCTTGAGGCCATTGGTTTGGTCCCTGTGGGTGGGATTTGCACCCTACTGATAATGGTTTCTATGTAGATCTAGAGAACAGGTCAGACCTGCTCGGTGACATCCAAAGTTAGGCTGCCATCCTGAATCTAGGATCTGCTCTTCTTGTCACATGTGTAAAGTATGTCTTTACCTGTAATTAGGGGGCTTGCATGCCCCCCCCCCCCCAGGTATATAAACCTGGGTTAGCAATAAAGATCCCTCTTGGTCTCTCATCCGCTCCCCCTTCCTCACTCCCCTGTTCCCTTTCTCCTTGTCCTCCTTCCCCTCCCCCTCTCTCCTGCCCTCTGGTCTCCCATCTCCACGTGGACCACCAAGTGGGGCTGAGGTGAGCATGCATGCTACAGTGAAATGTCTGACTCCATTATTTCAATCTCTCTTTTATCTCTCGTGCTATGACTTTATTATAATATATGTATATATTTCAGTTGTACAATTGCGCCTATCGAACCCATGGTTAGTTGTGGGGGGCTGGCCTTTTCCCTGACATCTTTCTCAGACAGAGTGGCTGGTATTTTTGAACTACTGACCTTGTAGTTAGCAGCACACACATAGGCCAGCCCTAATTTGTTGTGGCAGGGGAATTACACAAGTATGTGGATCACAGAAAGATTATAACGGACCATTTGGCTATATACCCTAGGTTCTAAACTTCTTACAAGCAGAATTCAAATCTTGTATGTTTCTTTCCTGTCTTAAGTTTATCTGAATTCCAAGGTTGCCAACCATACATTTTGGCTCTCTATGTTGCCCTGTTATGAGTATGTTTTATGTTCAAAATGTGAATGAAAAAAACAACCCATTGCCATCAAGTTGATTCATATTAACCCTGTAGTTACCCTCATGTAGTTAGTTTCATACTTTTTTTTTCCAATTTATTTAACACTTTATTTTAATCAAAGGCTAACACAATAGAATTCTTTTTTTTTTAATTTAATTTTTTAAAAACATTTTATTAGGGGCTCATACAACTGTTATCAAAATCCATACACACATCAATTGTGTAAAGCGCATTTGTGCATCATTCTCAAAACATTTTCTCTCCACTTAAACCCCCAGTTTCATACTTTTTTAAAACAGTGTAACTTTTTCATATAAAACATTTCTACTTAATTTTGTTCATAATGGTCAATTATCAGTTGTAGTATGTGGAGTATATTCCCTGGGTGGTGCAAATGTTTAACATTCTTGGCAACTAATGGAAGGTTGGAAGTTTATGACAACTCAGAGGAACCTTGGTGATTACTTCTGGAAACCTGGCAGTTAATAACCCTGTGGAAAACAGTTCTAGTGTGATGTATCGGATCACCATCAGTTGGAGTTGACTCATAGCACCTCGTTAGTATGTAAAGGCTTTTGGATTTTCTAGGAAGATATATGCACACTGCCTGCTTGGTGCCCACTTCATTGATTTGTCAATTCTTTAATTAAAAAAAAAATCGTTTTATTAGGGGCTCATAAAACTCTTATCACAATCCATACACACATCAATTGTGTAAAGCACATTTGTACATTCATTGCCCCCATCATTCTCAAAACATTTCCTCTCCACTTAAGCCCCCAGCATTAGGTCCTCATTTTTCCCCTTCCTCCCTGCTCCCCCCTCTCTCATGAGACCTTGATAGTTTATAAATTGTTATTTTGTCATATCTTGCCCTGTCTGACGTCTCCCTTCACCCACTTTTCAGTTGTCCGTCTCCCAAGGAGGAGGTCACATACAGATCCTTTTAATCTTATCCCTCTTTCCTCCCCACTCTCCCTCTACCCTCCCTGTTTCACCACTCACACCACTGGTCCTGTAGGGCTCATCTGCCCTGGATTCCCTGTATTTTCAGTTCCTATCTGTACCAGTGTACATCCTCTGGTCTAGCCAGACTTGCAAGATCGAATTTGAGTCATGGTAGTGGGAGCGGGGAGGAAACATTTAGGAACTAGAGGAAAGTTGTATTTCTCATCGTTGTTACATCGCCCCCCTGACTGGCTCGTCTCCTCCCCAGACCCCTCTGCAAGGGGGTCTCTAGTGGCCTGCTAATGGGCTTTGGGTCTCCACTCCGCACTCCCCCCATCATTCACTATGGTAAGATTTTTTGTTCTGATGATACCTTATACCTGATCCCTTCGACACCTCTTGGTTGCATAGGCTGGTGTGCTTCTTCCATGTGGGCTTTGTTGCTTCTGAGCTTGATGGCAGCTTGATTACCTTCAAGCCTTTAAGACGCCACATGCTATACTTTTTGATAGCCGGGCACCATCAGCTTTCTTTGCCACATTTGCTTATGCACCCATTTGTCTTCAGTGATCCCTTCGACACCTCATGAGAGGCTCCTTTGTATATGTTATTAGTGCTCCCCTGAAGTATTAGACAGTGGTGGATGGTTTGGAATGTAATATATACAAGGGGGATTAAAAAATTCTTGAAAATGGAATTAAAAGATACTAAAGTCCTCTCATATTTTTAAGTTTTTCACATCTTAGGAAAAAAAAAAAAACCAGCTAAACAAACCAAACTCAATGTAATTTAATCAACTCTTACTCATAGCAACCCTATAGGACAAGTTAGAACTATCTCTGTGGATTTCCCAGACTAACAAGTAGAAAGCCTCATCTTTCTCCCGATGAGCATCTGATGGTTTTAAACCACTCTCCTTGAGGTTGACAGTCCAAATAAATTCATGTTCTGTTAGAGAAAAATTCACCTTGAATATCACTTTGAAATTATCAATTTCCTCCTGTTTCTTTAATTATCAATTGGACAAATATTTGAGGGCTTCCTCTCAAATATTTAGTACCCTCAGGCACTGACTGAGTTAAACCAGAAAGTACTGCCATTGAATGGATTCCGAGCCTGTACAGGGTTTCTGAGGTTTTATAAATCTTTATAGGAGCAGACAGCCTCATCTTTCTTCCACAGGATAGCTGGTGAGTTTGAACTCCTCAACCTTGTGATTAGCTGCCCAGTGCTTACCCACCCGTGCCACCAGAGCTTCTTGGCACTCTGTTAGCTCTAGCTACATAAAGATGAATGATCTTAGCCTCAAGAAAACAGCTTGAGACCTGGCAGGGGAGACACCATAATCAGGAAGGTGGTTTTCCCAGGGCGAGGCTCACCCATTGCACTGCGGGTGTGTTGACCCCTGCGATTTCCCCAAATGCAGGGAAACTCGACTGCGTAACTTATGGTAGTGGGGGACTGCGTCGTCCGCGCTCTCCCCTGAGTTTAAAAGAAAAAAAGAAAACAGCTTGAGAGAGGGGACATATTTCCAAACAGGTAATAATAGACCTCTGTTGAATATTCATTAGGCTTAAAATGGCCTTTAGCGTTTTATAAGTGGTATCTTAATCCTTAAAACAGTACTGTGAGATGCAATGCGATGCAGATTTCTGTGGCTGCTATTTTCGTTTAGCATTACTTTTTTAAAAATCGTTTTATTAGGGGCTCATACAACTATCACAATCCATACATACATCAATTGTGTTAAGCACATTTGTTTTTTGTTTTTTTTGTTCCTTTTTTTTTTTTAATCAATTTATTGGGGCTCATACAATTCATCACAATACATAGATCAATTGTGTAAAGCACATCTATACATTTGTTGCCCTCATTATTCCCAAAAGTGAAGCACATTTGTACATTCATTGCAGTTAGCATTACTTTTGATGAACACCTTGAGTGGAGAGCCAAATATTTCCCTCTTAAGCTGACTTGTAGTGGCCCTTCCTTTAATTTCAGTAGGGAAGACAAAAAGCAAAGAAAAAAACCAGTTTGTGTAAAAATGGCACTTAAGAACAGAAAAAAATTCTTTGTACTTGATGCCTTTAAGTACTATCTGCCCAAAGCTTTGCTAGGCAGTAATACTTCCTACAATACGACTGAATTTTTGTAGAATTGTTACATTTGATAATAAAACTTGCCTGTTTAATTTAAAAAACAAAACAAAACAGCACTATGAGGTAAATTATTCCTGTTTTATAGATGAAGAAAGTGTAGCTCAGAGAGATTCAGTTGTTTAGGCTTGCACTGTGAGTACCAGTGCTGGGACTTGGATCTAGGTTTGTCAGACACCAAAGTCTACACATTGAAATACTATAAGCTATAATGGCTCCAGTAATCATGCAACAAGGTTGACTAGAAGGATGAATTCGTTCTTTTTTCTTCAGAATTTTAGGGAAAGCTACCCGAGAACAGCTGGTTATTGAAGGATAGAGAGGACCAATTCGGGAAATAGAAAAAATTTTTTTACTACCACCTCTTGTAACTGGTATTTTGAGTCACACTGAATACATTTTCATCAAAGTCAAACTAGAAACAAGCAGTTGAGCACATACTTGGAATCCAAAATAGAACAAACGAGATTACTAAATATTAATCTAGATCAACTAAAAGTAATTTAAATGCTCATAATCTTTTTTTTGAACTTTCTGATGACATTTCTAAAGGTTTATCTTTTCTGCACTTAAAAAATTTATTTTTATTAAATATATAACAGTGCTTATAGCAACACAGCAATTTCTACATGCACAGTTCGGTAACATTGATTTATTATTCAAGGTATGTAATCCTTCTAATCCTCCTTTTCTGAGTTGTTCCTCCTCCATAAACTCAACATCCCCAAGTTTTCTATATTATCTTTTGAGTTGCTGCTGTTAATTTTGAATGCCTTGGTGGTGTGATGGGTTACACATCGAATCAACCGGCCACTATGAGGGAGAAAGATGGGGCTTTCTACCCTCATAAACAGTTAAAATCTCAGAAACCCACAGGGGTGGTTGGTTCTAATCTGTACTATAGGGGTCACTATGAGTCAGAATTGACTCAATGGCAGTGAGTTTGAGTTTGGTTGTCTCTTTGATCTCATATAGATAAATCTTAAAGGAACGTCACGCTCAGGCAGACATTCTTTATTAAACAAAACTATTGTTTGGATATAAGAAGACTTTAGGGGATTTTTTTTGTTTTGTTCAATGTGTAAAATTTAAAGCTCTTTTCATGGCAATAGTTTCATATGTTTATTCAGCCTCCATGGCTACAGAAATTCTGGATTTTGAAATTCTGCTCTGTATGTTTGCCAGTATGATCAGGATTCTTCATAGAATCTTTGATTAAAATGTTCTGTAATGGTAAGCAGCCACTACCTAATTCTTTTAGAGAGGCGCAGTTTTGAACAGAAGCAACAACATAAGCAAACCATGGGAGTATTTTAACAGATGGAATGTTAGGGTACTGTGAGTAATTTTGTGTGGTTGGAATATAGAACATATGAGAGAACTTCCAAAAGTTTGCAAAAAATCCACTATCTTTCCATTTTAATTTTTCAGACTTTTTGAAGGCCTCTGATACAGGAATGTGACAGGTGAAACTTAAGTAGGCAAGCTTTAGAATAAGCTTCTGCAGACTACACAACCTCTGACTCAAATCCAGCCCTTTGCCTGTTTTTTTTGTAGGTAAAGTTTTATTAGCACACAGTTGCATTCATTAATTTACATGTTTATGTCACCTTTTATGTTACACAGGAGGTCATATGTCCTCCATACCAAAAATATTTACTCTAACCCTTATTCAAAATAGAATCTTTTTTTTTTTCTTTCCCCCACAAAAGGATCTTCTAACCTCTATTTTAGAACATCATATATACTCGTGTATAAGCTGAGTTTTTCAGCACATTTTTAATGCCATTTTTGTGGTAAAATTAGGTACCTCAGCTGATATTCGGGTCGGCTTATACTCGAGTATATATGGTATTTGTTGATAACATTTGATTCCCAGTTACTATGGTGAATATGTATTTTAGTCAGTGTTAATGAGGTGATACTGACCAAACCACTCATTCAGAATGGACCTACAATATATTTGGAAATTGTATTAATTAGGCTCTCCTAAATAGCACAGTTCTGAAGATAATGAAGGTATATAGAAAGAATGGAAAGTTCAGCTGTCATCAGGACCCTTAAGTAAAACAGCATGTACATAGCCAGGCGACATAATATATGCTGTACCTGTTGGGGAGAGTGTCATGCCCCCTACTCCCTTTTATTTCTTGTGAGTGTCCTTTTTAAAAATTTTTTTGTATCCTGTTCATGTTTGATGGATAACAGTATCTTTTTACCTGTGAGGATATTCTCTTTTTTCTTTCAAAATTTTCTTTGTCTTCTTTCGTTATAGACGTTTTTCACATCGTCTGGTAATAATTTATCATAGTTTAAAGTGAGAGACTAAAAATCATATGGGGAGCTGTGTGCGTGTGAGAGAGAGAGAGAGAGAGAGAGAGAAAGAGAGAGAGACAGGGCTTAACTGAAACCTTCATCATAGGGTTCCTGTTTGGTTAATTATGTCTGCTTAGAGTGGGATGGCTGTCGAGTGGGAGAAGAGGATACAGAGTTCCAAACTTTCATGACTGTGACCCAAAGCACCCACATACATTTTCCTCCTCAGGTTTGTTGGGCAGCAGCTTTCCCATTGCTGGTACATGCAGTTGTTGGGATGAGACCTATATTTAATTTTTGAAATGGAAGAAATGGGTATATGCTGCAAAATGACCTTTTAAAAAAAAAATCATTGAGGCCTCGTACAACTCATGACAATCCATACATACATCTGTTGCGTCAAGCACATTTGTACACTTATTGCCATCATCATTCTCAAAACATTTGCTTTCTAATTGAGCCCTTGGTATCAGCTCCTCGTTTTCCCCTCCCTCTCCTCCCCCCTCCTTCATGAACCCTTGATAATTTATAAATTATTATTATTTTGTCATGTCTTAAACGGTCCAGCATCTCCCTTCACCCACTTTTCTGTTGTCCGTTCCCTAGGGAGGGCATTATATGTAGATCCTTGCAATCGTTTCCCCCTTTCTACCCCACCTTCCCTCTACCCTCCCAGTATTGCCACTCTCACTACTGGTCTTGAGGGGTTCATCTGTCCTGGATTCCCTGTGTTTTTAGTTCCTACCTGTACCAGTGTACACCCTCTGGTCTAGCCGGATTTGTAAGGTAGAATTGGGATCGTGATAGTGGCGGGGAGGAAGCACTTAAGAACTAGAGGAAAGGTGTATGTTTCATCGTTGCTACACTGCACCCTGACTGGTGTCTTCCCCGCAATCCTTCTGTAAGGGGATGAAAATGACCTTTTTATAACAAGGTATTCAAGTGATGTATTCAGGAGGTGTGATTTTGCAAAACTTTTATCTCTTTAGGCCTTTTTACTGGGAGATAACTATAAAAAGTTTGTGGAAAAAATGTAATTTTAGGATAATGGAATTGAAGACCCCTTGTATGTGTCATACAGAACTGTACCCCCAAATCCAGAGTAAAAAGTGTGTCTCACCTAATCCAACCAGAGTCCAAAGGAACATGCATATCCTACATAATATATATCAAAACTGATATTTCATAACAGAATTTTGGAAGTGTACCTCCATTTAGCCATTAAAATACATGGTATCAAAAATTTAAAGTAGAAAATAATTGGGTCATGAAAGGGGTAATTCTCCTCCTTTTGATATGGTCTTCAGTATTCAGCTGTATCTAATACTCCCTGTCCTTGAGATACTGTTTTACCCTCTTAGGAGGAAAAAAACCTGAGGCTCTTCGTTTAGAGTCATGAATCTAAGAATCAAAACGTTTTCGATCAATCCTCCTATGTGCCTACCTTACCCCTTCTAGAAGTAGCTGGTTCTTGCTGTGTAAATTAGCTTGGTGCTTGGCTTTGATGTAGGAGTCAGCTTTCTTAGGTATACTTTCAGCAAGCATGGTTCCTTCTGTTTTCTGCCTTTTGCAGTTTATTATTTACTGTCTCTACTTCTGTTTTTAAGTTTTTTAATCCCTTTATTATTTTAGAGGAGATTTGGAAGGAAGCAAAATTGGGTATGTGTGTTTATCATCTTTATCTTGAAATCCTTGTCTGAAATATTTTAGGTATTTTTCTCCTTTTCCTTTAAAAAAACTTGGGTCTAGAAACTGTTTTTCATTTCTTTACTGTTTACCTTTGAAATTTTAACTAGCGCGTTAACTTCACAAAAAGTTAATCAGTATCTTTAACTTGTCTTAAGGACTTTGTTCATTCCAGTCACCTTATTTCCCTCTTCAATGCTGTTCAGTATTCGAGTTTCATTTGTATATTTTTAATCCCAAAAGTTAAACATTGTTTTTTGTGTTTTCGATTTACCTCATGTTTACCATTTTGTTAATCTCTGTTTTATCTTGAGTTACAGATATTTC